CTACAAGAGTGCCATGCAAGTATATATAGGCCTACTTGCAACACAAACAGGTAAAAAAGAACACAAGACTTCAGGTGTTACTAGAGAGTAATATACAGAGAAAAGAAGGTGGAGAGACAAGGACAATAGATGTTTCATAAAAAGGAAAGAGAAAAACACACCACAGCACGACCCACCAACAAACTTTGGAACTCAACAACAAACTCACCAAACAAACAAGATGCACTGAGAAAAGGAAGACTTTATTAGCTTTAAATTGAACAAACGGGAACTTGTCCTTCAAGGGCATTTTAAAACGTCAAGTCCTCATTCCTTAAACTCAAAGTGAAACAAAAACCAGGCAAAAATATAGCATACAAAATGTGACCCGCAAGCTATGCTGTCTTGCCAGTCGTTGCACAGCGTATGAACGTGAATCTACAAATATAATAATAATAGTATTTGCTAATTGTTTGCAAGCAGGGGGTTTGCTGAACTTGTGAACTTATTAGGATAATAATAATAATAATAATAGTATTTGCTAATTGTTTGCAAGCAGGGGGTTTGCTGAACTTGTGAACTTATTAGGATGACTATGATGAAAATTGCAATGTGTGTGTGTGTGTGTGTGAGTGGCAGTCAAACTCAAACCTTACCACAAGAGAAGACAACAAAATTGCACATTCGCATACCAGGCACCTGTTGAGGAGGCATTGTAGTTTTTTTTAATTGATTGTGAATGTGAATGAAAGCAAAGTTGAGAGTTGGTGTGGGGTGGAAGTCAGTATTCTTAGGTCAAAATGACAAATGTGAAATTTATATATTGACAGGATGATATCATTTTTTTGTATCGACTTAACAGGATGATTTTAAGGAAATACTGACAATTACATGAAAAAACAAAACCAATCATAATGAGACATCATGGGTTCAGCATGAGACGACCATGCATCCCCCTATTGAGACAAGGAAAGGTTTGTCGAACATTAAATTCTAAATTTTGCTTGCAATGTGAAATTTTGTAATAAACATAACATATGATGTGCCGTACTTTATCTTCTGTTGGAAGAAATTGACAGTGAATGCTTTCATCAGCAGAAAATATAAATACAGCACTCTAAACACACAAGCACACAAACACACATGTCGCCACGCAGCCTTTCTTTTTCTTCCAGTGCCCTGTCTCACACACTCATTCATTCTCCACTCTCTCTTTAGTTAGTATTCTCCCTTATACTTAGATCTTGCTTATATTCAAACAAACACGGAGTATACTCACAAAATAAAACTTTGATTGCTGCTTCTTTGATTTGATAGCGAAAACATTTGTTTAAAACACTAAAAATTACAATGCTCATATTACTGCACTACTACTATGAATAAAAATGATTTTTTAACTACTTCCAAATTGTTATACAACAGACTGATCACCAGCTAGAGTGAAAAGCCATCTGAAAATACATCAGGACCACCTTCACTGTGTTGATTTTTGCGCAGTACAGTCAGTTCAAAATGATGAACACACACATGAGATGAGAGATAAAGTCACAGTCAGAATCAAAAGTCAACTCTAGCGGGCAATGTGACAGCTTTTAACCCAGTGTCCTTGGTCTTGTTGTATCTGGTAGTGTGACCGAACAGCAGATGCTGAGAGGAGCTTCAAGTGTGTGTGTGTGTGTGTGTGTGTGTGTGTGTGTGTGTGTGTGTGTGTGTGTGTGTGTGTGTGTGTGTGTGTGTGTGTGAGAGAGAGAGAGAGAGAGAGAGAGAGAGAGAGAGAGAGAGAGAGAGAGAGAGAGAGAGAGGGGGGGAGGGAGGGAGGGAAAGAGGGAAAGAGAGAGAGAGAGAGAGAGAGAGAGAGAGAGAGAGAGAGAGAGAGAGAGAGAGAGAGAGAGAGAGAGAGAGAGAGAGAGAGAGAGAGAGAGAGAGAGAGAGAGACAACAAAGACAACATAAAAAAATATGCGCATACTCACGGACAAAACTACCCAACAATATGATGGTTGGTACGCTATACATAGTCCGGGTTGAACGCCCCTTCTTCCTGTGTTAAATTACTCACAAGGCAGGATACAATGATTGATAGGGTTGGGGAATAGGTTGCATGCCACATCACAACAACGAAATGGAATTTTTGGATACATGAATGGTCCCAGTAATATAATGATAATATATGCACAACAAATCATGGAAGACGATATAATATAATATAGTATATACACATGTAGTATGTACAAAGACCATCTCTGCTGCAGATAAAGTGAGATGATACAGAAAGAGAAGAAAAGAACGGAATGGGGGGGGGTGAGGGGCAAACCTGCTACCCCAAACACCCTCCAGCCACCCGTAATGGGTGGAAGATTTGTTGGAAGAAACAAACAGAAAGCTTCTTATTTGTTTGCTTTTGATCTTAAGAGATACACAGTAAAGTGGAAGCACATTGGAGTGTTGACGGTGAAGATAATTTTGTGTTAGGAGAAAGCAAGAAGGACTTATAAAAATGGCAAAGGTGAAGTCAAGAAGAAGCACCTTCCAGTGGCACCCTTAACTGACAACAGTCTAAAAATTGTTGGGGACAACAGCTTAAGTCATAACTCTTTCCTCATGATTGTCAAGTATTAAACATGGCATTTTTTCTAAGTTGAAGAGACAAACGGTCGTGATAGAGGCACTGCTGGTATACGAATGAGGAAGTTGGAGCCAGGCTAACAAGTGAGGTCCCTGGCCCAGCATTTAAAGTACAAGTGTGCAACAACAAGGTGAACAAGTTCAGTTGGATCAGGTTTGTAATAAAGTAAAGAAAGATATTCAGCATCTGACGTCCTTTCAACTGCAGGGAAGAATCCTGCGAGTCTTGCTAGGGGTTTGAACATGTCTGTTTGAGTAACAAAAGCATATCGATACGATGGCAAGTCATTTTGTGCACGGAAAAAGCAAGACAGACAGGGTGACAGAAGAGAAATGAGACTTATCATTTGCACCCTCTAACCACCTGCACCATGATAAATCGAGATAACAACAGAGTTGACAGCACATACGTGATAAACTGTAGATCCAACAGTTGTGCTCTGGATTCAAGAAGAATCTCTTTAAGACAAACAGCCAAAAACCATCCTTTGACAGAAAGCGAAGTGAGTAAAAATATGAACTGAAAATGGCGAAACAACCCAACAGACTCAAAATGTGAGCTGCTGTATTCAAGAAGCAGAAAATGACTCTTCATATTCGACAATACTTCTACAACTGAAAACGAATCTCTACTGCACAAAACGACCAATTTAAAGGATGGCTTTTGTCTGATGCCACTGAAGCTAAAATACAAACACACACACAAACAATCTATCCGAGCCTAGAGCCCCGTAGCTACAAGAGTTGCGTATTCACTAAGGCATATCCTGGTAATGTGGAAGCGTCTCATGTTTGATATCTATGCTAGCATAGCCAAAAACATTATTAAAAAACATCTTTACCGGGATCACTTCAAAAACTCAGCCAATAATTAACACAGAATATTCAACCCAACAATTTTTTTTTTAATACATGGGGCAGAAAATCTAAAATACTGGCATTTTGATACCAACTGGTTTAGTTCCATCATTAATCAAAATTTAAAAAATGTCAAGCGTGTGATATTTAATACAGCTGAGCAAACATGTTAGCAATCAAATGCAGTGAAGCTAAAATAAACACAACTTAAGCATGATGACAGAGCCAGGCTTAGAGATGGGCCAGACAAAAGCACAGCCCAGAAACTCACAAAATCTATTAGAATTTTAGAACAGATGTTAAAACATTGAATGCTTTAAATTCATCATTTCGAAGGAGTCCATAAGGAATATTCAAGTTCACAAAGCAGGCAATGTACTACAAAGTGGTGCTATTGTCATCAGTACACTCCTTTTCTCTTTTCCTTCCTCCTTTCTAAGAAACACAAAGGCACATTATCCAAGTTGTGAGTACACTGGGCCCCACAGTCTAAACCTGGCACTGTCTGCGACCCACCTTGTGGCGGGGATCAAGCTAGCCAGAGCAGACAGAGAGAGAGGGAGACACCTGGGCTCAGAATCTGAACTTCTTTTCTGACAAACCTAAATCTTTCATGACATAATTACGCCCTTTTCCAGCCATAACAGAATACCCACAGACGTCTCTTCTTCTGTTACGCAAACAAAGAGAGACTTCTATAAATTACAAACCCTGGTACTAAATGTATAAATATTTATTCAGTTACACTGAAGATCAGATTATGAATGAGACCACAGGTGTCAGGCTTGAGTCAGCTGCTACTGCTGGCGACCACAAGGAGGGATTGAGGCTAGGGAAGGATACGCCACTATCTCATCTCAAGACATTTAAAAAATTAGCCACAAAACACAGAGGAAAGGGAAGCACAAGGACATAAAAACAATCATTTAGTGCAGGGGTCACCAAGAAAAAGGTGTCAGTTCGTCTAACCTGCTGCCATAACACCATGCCGGGGGAAAAAAACGCAACCAAAGATGATAAGTGTGTAGCCTGTTCAGGACTTGGTCACCAAAATACATATTATCATTAGATTTTAATGCACTCTACTAATATGCAAATTCACAAGTTTTTTTGGACTTCATAGCTTCTACTGAATGCATTTTAAAAAATGTATTCCATTTATAGTACATAACAAATTGTAACTCGGCCCTCGCTCACCATTCTTTCAGTTATCCTTCACACTTTGAAAAAAGTTTGTTGACTCCTGATTTAAGTAAAAGCAAGACATGCACACAGAAACAATAGAGGGGAATCTAAAGGAAAAGGACCTGCCAGTGGCACTCTCCAAGCACCCCAAGTAGGCCCAAAAACTGAGATTTTTAAAAAGAGTAATTTATAAGACTGTCTACTTCACCTGCAGACAATTCGCTCCCTCGGAATTACAACGTTCTATCTGACATTTTTGGCCATTTTGAGTTACTAAGATCATGAGGTCAGAAACCAAATGTTCTGTCTTTCTCTATCAAAATTGTAAGATTATCCAGTCGTTGTCATGATATTAAAAAGAATTGCATTCGAAAATGCTTGACAATGATGTGAAACTTAAAATCTTTGACGTCAAATTTCTCAGAACTAGGTCCTGAGCAGATATAAACTTGTAATTCTGAGAGAGCAAATTGTCTTGTGCAAAAGAACTAACTACACTTGTTAAAACATGAATGTTGATGTAAACATTTTTCTTGTGGTAAATCACCATAGTCTACATCAATAAGGAGAGCTTTTTTCAACCTTGCATATTTCCAAAACCATATAAATGGGACGCGAATTCCTTGCAGAGAGATGGAGGCACTTGATATGATCCCAATAAGGTAATCAAACTAAAGTCTTTTGATTACAAGGAAGGAATTCTATAAAATGCACTACAGAAGCAAATGCCTTACTATGAAAGCTCATAAATGCCTTTCCAATGTGCAAAAAAGGCTGAGGCCTGAAAAAATAATTAATTACAAGCAACATAGACACCTTTTTGATCAATGTCAAGATAGGTTGCAGTTGCATCAAATAAAGCAGAAGAAGAAAATGGCCTCCAGGGTAAAACAAAAGACCTGGACACACCAGACACAGCCTAAGTCACGAAGACAAAGTTTTGTATCTTGTGTAGTCAAGCTTCACTGACCAGCCAAGACAATTGTACAATCATTAACATTTTTGGGGGGATTTAGGATTTAGACAAGTAGATAAATTTCATTTGACAAGCTAAGTAATCAGTCTAATTATAATTAACTGTGAATTAATGTTTTGACTGAGATTTACGTCGACTCAACACAGACGAGCGCAATCAACGGACTAGGAAGGACCCCCGGTCGGCCCTGCGGGTGATCGTAGACGTCGCGGCGTCACTCACAACTGGTCAAACCGAGGCTTGAGCGGGCTGGTGCGGGGAGTGCTGTGGGTACCGAACGTCTGAGCGGAGCCTGCCGCAGTCGTCGTCTGGGTGGGGAGGGGCAGCGGTCTCAGCGACGTGTCGATGTTCTCCTTAGCCTGCTCCAGGTCCGAGGTCGTTTTGCCCACTGAAAGAGGGAAGAAATACAAAAGTAATTCTCATGATAAAGCAACACAAGCCTCATAACAGAGTAATGATTAACCTGATTTTAGAAGAAAAAAAGTTTTTACAACACTTTCTACAATACACATAGATAATATCTCAATGAGAGACGAACCAATCTCAGTGAGACACGAACAAACCACAGCGTGGCACCGAGTCGACAAATAACAAAAACCTAATATCTATGATGTTTATTCATGTTATCTACTCATGCCATCATAGGACTTCCCCCACCTGTGTTACAATATATTCCTCCATGTTTCTCAGTTTGGGGTCATGGGGCAAAATATCACCACAATTCAGCTACCCGTTGCTGGTGTAACCAGAGGGTGGGCACTATTTTGGTTTGGCTTGCTCCTTCTGTTTCAATTCAGGTTAAGCTACGCTTTTATCTCTCAACGGCCAAAGGTAAAGACATTGTTATTATGGCAATTTGTAGACAATTTGTTTATTATATTATTCCCCCCCCTCAGTTCTCATTTATTGAAATTCAATAACCATAACTGGCACTTAGCATGTCTACAAGCTTAAAGAAGTTAATGTAGAGCTAAAAGATCTGAAAAGCTTTATATTGCTCAGTTATTATCATAATCTCTTCCAATTTAAAAAAACATTTTTTTTTAAAAAGAACACACACACACACAAAAAAAAACCCCCTCCAATATATTATATAATAAACTGTAGTCATGTAGAATGAGACAATACATGAACAGTCTAGGGGGTACAGTTTGTTAGGGAAAAGAGACCTTCTTTGTTGTAACAGAGTGGAATTTCGTGGGGGGGGGGGGGTTTA